AGACATTCTTAAACTGATTAAGCCAATCCGATTGTGTTGGTATAAAGTTCTTTTGTTTTTCCCTTTTCCCAAAGAAAAAGGCTAAATAGCCATCCAGCCAACTCAATTCCCAAATTTTGATACTATTTGTAGGCAGACAGAATAATTAAACAATAACTTATGGGTTAACAATGATTTAAAACAAATGTACTTATTGCCTTACTTATATAACTGTTCTTCCCCACTCATCACTTTTCAATAATTTAATAATTAATATTCAATAATAAAATTAATAATTTATAATAATAAATCTAAACAGGCTAGATAATTGTGTAAGGAAATAATTCATTAAGTTATAAAAGATTGGCTCTTGAGTATCATTTGTGACACTTGTGATCTATGTGTTGAAAAAGCTCATCTTTAATGATTCACATACTAGATTTTTCACCCAAATGAGAATAATCCCCTTCATTTCAATAATAAGACTTTGTAAGTGTCAAATGCTTACAGTGTGCTGAGCTCCTGCCTAACAGCTCTTTATACACTAACTCATTGAATTCTCCCTCTAACCTCATGAGGTTTTTATCCTCAGTTTACAGATAGGAAAACCAAGGCTTAGCTGAGCACTGGTGGCTAACACCTGGGCAGGAAAGTCTCTTATATCCAATTATCTGCCAAAAAAAGCTAGAGGTTAAGCTGTGGCTCAAGTGGGAGAAAACTAACCTTGAACACAAAAACTCAGAGACAGTGCCCAGGCAGGCTCTGAGTTCAAGCTCAAGACCAGCATGTGAGGAAGGAAGGAAGGAAGGAAGGAAGGAAGGAAGGAAGGAAGGAAGGAAGGAAGGAAGGAAGGAAGGAACCCAAATTTAAAGATGTATAATTCTTGATTCTGCTTTCAAATAGCATTTGACTCCAGGACCCACTCCCTCATCTGTAAGTAAGAACTGTTTCCTGCAGAGTAGCTCCATCTGCCAGCATTCTGCGCAGTAAAGTTTATAAAACATTTTAAAAATTCTCAAGCAACAGTGAAATAAAAGATCAAAGACCATCAGTGGCTCATGCAACTAATCCTACTAAGGAGGCTGAGGTCTGAGGATCAAGGTTTATGTAGGAACATTAACCTTAATATCCAATTAACCAGCAAAACCTGGAAGCAGAAGTGCAGCTGAAGTGGTAGAGCACCAAAAACTAAGGAAGAACTCAAGACTGTGAGTTCAAGCCCCAGTGCTGGCATACACACACACACACACACACACACACACACACACACACACACACACACACACACACACACACACACAAATAAGAACAAAGAAAATGTTAAGCAGTTTATAGCAGAAAGATATATATATATATATCACTTTATATAATTTTATACAGCAGAAAAAGGAAAGGGAAGGAGGAAAGGGGGGATGGAGAGGAAAGAAGAGGAGGAAGGGGAGAGGAGGGGAGGAGAAGAGAACAATTAAGAAGAAAAAAGTATCCAGGATTTAAAAAAAAAAATCCCTATGTAAATTACAGCACATGAGCACAACAAAATACGATGTCACTAGGGTTTTGAAAGACACAGAGAAAGCACATGGGAAGGATTTTTGAAAGGTCTCTCTACCTCCCACTTCACTGGGTACATATGATTTCTCAGATTATCTAATTTTCTAATGTCTGGATGTCTCTTTCCTTCTCCTCCTCTTTCTTCAAGTGCTAGACTAATCAAATTTAAGCCTCTTAAGTACAGTCATTCCTTTTGTGTTTGGAAAGCTTGCCAGCTACCAAAATATGTAGACACAATTAAGAGATGAGGGTCAACAGGAAACTGTCTCACAAGAAATGGTACCCACCACTTTGGGGAGGTGGGGGCCTGAGGTATTTCCTGTTGGGAATTCAACAAAGCAAGTGTGACTGAGATGGAATTTGCTTCAGAATAAATCATAAATCAAGACAAGCAACAATTTTACTGTCTGCTATTGACCATGTGCCACTGGAAAAATGATTTCATCTGAAAGCACTTAGCCTTCCAATAAGCCAAACAAACTGCAGAGGAAGAAGAGTTGCGGAATATTGCTTTAATGCAAACTTATGAAAGAAAACTAAAAAATTAAGCAGAGGAAAAGTACACAAACAATGTGGGCTCAGAGCATTAGAGTATATAATGGAAAGCAAATCTAAGGCTTGTGGGAAATCTTTATTGCCTTTTGCTATTGCTTGGATGTGTCCCCCAAACATGGGTGTTAAAAGCTTGGTCCTCAGACTGTGGTACTATGAAGACAAACCATTAAAGGGTGGAAATTAATGGAGATGTCAGACCATGCCCTGGACTGTGGGACCCTGGCACTTTCCTCTTCCTTTCTCTCTTCATGCTCCAGCCTGAGGCAAGCATGTTGCTTTGCGTCCCTCAGGCCCAAAAAGCAAAGGGACCAACAGACCCTGACCTGAAACCCTCACAGCTGTGAGGGTAAATGAACCTTTCCTAGTCAAGCTCACTATCTCACCATCTCACTATCTCAGCAACACAAAGCTGATTAATACACTTACACAAACTTACTGCTATGATGAATTCCCAGAGGAAACCTTCGCCCTGACTGAGGCCTTTTAATCATCGCTCCAAATATGAATCTTTTACAGAAAGATAGCAATGAGTGAATGCTTGAGAATAGACATTAAGATCCTTCTCAACCCACCTGAGTGTTTAACATTAATGGTCTTCCTCTGCTTTCTCTTGGTGTCAGTCACTATTGTCGTCAATATGGTCTTTAATTATGTGTGTGTGTATGTTTGTGAGTGTGTGTGTGTGTGTGTGTGTGTGTGTGTGTGTATTGTGGGGGTGTTTTTGGTCATGGAGCTTGAACTCAGAGCCTAGGCACTGCCCTGAGCAATTTTGCTCATGCCTGGCACTCTACCACTTTAAGCCATAGCTCCACTTCTGGTTCCTTGGAGATAACAGCATTCTGTCCAGGGCTGGTTTTGAACTGTGATCCTCAGATCTCAGCCTCCTGAATAACCAGGATTACAGGGATGAGGCACCAGCACCCCAACTTTAATAATTATTATTATTTTGTACCAGTACTTGGGCTTAAACACAGGGCCTTCTGACTATTTTGTTCAAGCCTAGCACTCTGTCACTTGAGCCACACCTCCACTTCTAGCGTTTTGGTGGTTAATTGGAGATAAGAGACTCTCCTACCCAGGCTGGCTTCCAACTTTGATCCTCAGATCTCAGCCTCCTGATTAGCCAGATTTACAGGTGTGAGCCACCATTGCACAGTTCAACATGAGCCTTAAAAGCTGTTTATACAACTAGAAAAAAAAAGTCTTTGACTCTTATGAAAAAGTGAAATTGTATAATCATTTTGATAACTGCAAATGTAATTAATATTCAGTCTATCATTTAAAGTCATATGCAATTTCCTTTAAAAAAAAAACAAAAGCTTATCTTCACAGAAATATACTAATCATAGAATGAAATCTGAGGAGCAACCTAACTTTCAATTATAGGAACTACAAGAACCCAAGGAATAAACTAAATGACATGAATGAGAAGATATGGGACAAATTCAGCAGATAGAACTTCTTTACAACTAGCTTAGTTTCATATCATTAAAAATTATATTAAAAGAGTCTTTAGAAACAGAAGATCCAGAGGCATTGCATTAGTCCCACAGTAAATTCTGCTTTGGACAAACCACCCGTCAAGGGCACTGTGGGGCCAAAAAGGAAAATTCAAATGTCATGAGGAATCAGCTACTATCAAGAATGATTACCAATTGCATTTGTCATGATAATGGCAATTTGCTTATATAGGACAATGTTCTCTTTTTTAAAAGATGCATATTAGAGTTCTTAAAGATAAAATGTTAATAAGTACATATTTTGAAATATTTCAGTGTAAACATTAGGTTTGGGAAAAGAGATGAGACAATAAAAAATAATTCTGAAACAATGAACGTACATGGTTCAAGGCTCATTCTCTGGTGTCAAGGAAAATAGTTCATAGGACAAAATGATACATTTACAAAGAAACTTTCATAGTAAGGGGGCTCTCACAAAGTGCAAGATGTAATTTTTTAAATATGCATATTAAATTATTGGCCTTAGAAAAATGTACTAATATAATATTAGATTAAATATTTAGTTTTGGCAAGGTACTGGTGGCTCACATCTGTAATCCTAGCTACTCGAGAGGCTGAGATCTGAGGATTATGGTTCAGAGCCAGCCCTGGCAGGAAAGTCCATGAGATTCTTATCTCCAAATAAACACCAGAAAACCCCAAGTCGAGCTATGGCTCACGTGGTAGAACACTAGCCTTGAGTGAAAAAGCTAACGGACAACATCCAGGCCATGAGTTCAAGCTCCAGTAAAAGCAAAGTAAACAATAACAAAAAAAGTTTAGCTTTGTTATTCTAGTGTCAAGAATCACAAGAGTAGAAAATTCGGAACTGTAACAATATTCCAGAATAATCGCAACTTAGAAAACATGCCTTGTTGATAGTCACCTTATTGTTTTTCCTAAAGGCCTCCTTTCTATTCCCTATATGAAAATACTTCCTTTGTACATTAATAAATATCTTTTGTTCTAAGTACATACCTAACAACTAAGTAAGCAAAGTTCACAAGTTTAGACAGTATTGTGTGGGCTAAACAATATATATATGCACATACATATGTATATATAGTGTATATCTCTGTACACACCCTATGTATGTGTGTGTGAGTGTGTGTATGTGTATAATTTAGCCACTGGCTAAATGCTAAATTATAATAAATACAATAAATATAATATAATAAATGCTAAATTATAATAAAAATAGGGAACCCTCCCTCATTCAGACAGATTATAGACAGGTCAGATCTACAAAGGGCTTGCTCTTCAAGGAAGCTACTGCCTTTGGACGAGGTCAAAAGCTGCCTTTTCTATTTGGTCAAGGAAATGTACAGTTTAAACACACAGCATCTGCCTTTTGGGTATGGAAATAATAGACTCAAAAGTTTAACCAAAGTAAAAGGAGGAGCAAGAAAAACAAACCTGAGGCCGAGCTGCCTGCAGACCACCTCCGCATCAGCGTCATCCCATTGGTCATCACAGACAGTGCCCCACTGGCCAGCGCGGTACAACTCCACTCGCCCCTCGTGCCCGCTGCTCCCTCCAACCAGGCGAATGGCAGGCAACGCTGGGCCTGGGCAATGAGGAGTTTACAACCAGTTAAGTATGTTTGTACATTGATCCATGAGAGCTGGTGAACTTCATTTCTTCCCCTTTTCACTACTATTCAGTAATGGCAGAAACATGTGCACACAGCTATCTACCTAGTATTACTACAGTAATATTGACCACTTAAAATACTGCAAGCCAGATGCTGGTGGTTCTTGCCTCTAATCCTAGCCACTCAGGAGACTGAGTTGTTGAGGATTGCGGTTTGAAGCCAGCCCAAGTAGAAAAGTCTGTAAGACTCTGATTTCCAATTAACCCGCAGAAAAAGCCAGACAGAAATGGATCTGTGGTTTAAGTGATAAAAGTGCTAGCCTTGAACAACAAAGCTTAGGGACAGAGCCTGGCCCTGAGTTGAACTCCCAGGACTGCGTGCACACACACGCGCGTGAGCATGCACACACATACACACACACACACATACACACACACACACACAATTAGTTCATCTCTTCCCCTTCCCAACAAATATAACGATTTTTCATTTGAAAGGCAATTAGCAAAGAAGTTGACTTTTATTTTATAGATAAAAATTTTCCATGTATTTTCATTTACATTGCTACTATTTTCTATAACTAATATTTTCACACATGATACTTGACTTTGTATGTTTTGGAAAAGCTCCAAGTTTTGGATGACAAGATACTCTTAGTCAATGTAATTCTCAAACTAAAAAGATGTATTAATGAATTACTGTTGTGTCCTAAGGTAGAATCAGGGTTTGCTGATGTCATGTTCTCTTTTAATTGACCAAAAAGAAGTCTTTTTTTTGGGGGGGGGGCGGTCCGGTCGTGGGGCCTGAACTCTGGGCCTGGGCGCTGTCCCTCAGCTCTTCACCTCAAGGCTAGTGCTCTACCACTTGAGCCACAGCGCCACTTCCGGCTTTTTTCTTTTTGTTTATGTGGTGCTGAGGAATCAAACCCAGGGCCTCATGCATGCAAGGCAAGCGCTCTACCACTGAGCCACCTTCCCAGCCCAAGAAGTCTTTTTTTTTAATGCTTACTTCTAGGTCATCACAGCTTCCTGTGTTTGGTATATGTTTACAAATGACCTGAAAATCATCTTCCTAACACGATTATGAACAAATGAATAGATTACAGTAGGTAAAACGAAAAGAAGAGAAAAGAGAAAAAGGTGGGCATAGTGGTACGCATCTGTAATTTCAGTACTCAAGCTGAGGCAGAAGGCGCAGAAGAAAGAGAAGGGGGGGGTAAGAACACACACAAAAAAAGCAAAACTGAAGTCAAAGCAGATGGGCATATAACTATGGATAACTTTTAGAATGTTAGACGTTTTTATCAATGAAGGTGAACAAAGAGTAAAAACAATAATCCACAAAAAAAGCAGTGCATTTCTATACCTGATTCATGTCCTCTTGTAACAATACTGCGGTGAACACAAACTTGGCAAAGGATCATTAAGCAGAAGGATGAGAGTAAAAGAAGAACACAGGAAAAGTAGAAGATACAGTGATTTAACCTGCATCCCATGCACCCCAAAAGGATTATGGCTCTCAGAGATCACATGCATTCCCTCTCCTGCCCATTAATGGGGATTCCTCTAAACAAAGTCTCTATCTTGTGGTAGAATCTTTGTGATATACGCCCGCCTTCTAGATAATTATATTCCAGCAGAAACCATTGTCCTGCGCTGGCATTTCAGATCCTAGAACATCTGGCTAGGTTGCTCTTTTCAAAAAAAAATGCAAAGAACAATATTGTAAGTTGGGGTAGCCTCAGATTGTGGTCACATCTTAAAATATACTGTGATTTCCCCAGACAATCCATGCATCTATCTTAAAAGACAGCTATCCATTCCTCTACTTACATTCATATAAATACCTGGATGCTTAAATCATACTGTTAATCACCACACAGTTAATAAGAAGCTTGAAAGAATTCCTATGTCAAGCTAATGATTCATTTTTAGGAAATGTGCTACCTACCATCCAAAGACAGGGAATGTAATTATATTTCATTATACAAAGTTGCATTTTGCCTCTCTTTTTAGCTTTCATCATGATTTTCCCCCTACCAAAATAGGTGTTTATTACTGAGTGCATATTTCCATATTAAAATGTTTTAAAATGAGTCACTATTTGAAAATCAAATGGAATTCAAAGAGTCAGATGCACTTGCAATGAGAATTCTTTTCTTCTTTCTTTTCTCTCTCTTTTTCATGTGTTGGTGGACGCCAATACTAGGGATTGAACTTAGGCCCTCAAACTCTTTCTTAGCTTTTTCTCTCAAGGCTGTGCTCTACTGCTTGAGACACACCTCCAATTCTAGTTTTTTCCTGGTTAATTAGAAATGAAGAGTCTCACACACTTTCTCCTTTGGCTGGCTTTGAACTGTGATCCTCAGATCTCAGTCACCAGGGATTACAGATATATGCCACCAGTACCAGTTGTTTTTTTTTTTTTTTAATTTAAGTTTTTTTCATTTGGGTACTAGGGATTAGATACAAGGTGGCATTATACATGATGAGCAAGTGCTCCACCACTGAACCATTCCCCTAGTCTGAAAGATAATTTAACTGTCAAATATGATTAGTTCCATTTATTTCTTATTTAAACCCAAGAGCGTTTTTAAAAAAACTGTGTAACTGAAACTAGAGAATTTCATGGTAAGTATGGAAAAAGCTCCCCATGACAGCAGCTGCCATCTCCAAGGTCACACCGCCCTCCAGATGTCTCCTTCACCCAGCAGCATATTTTCTTCATCTCCTTGACAACAGATACTGCTCAATCATGGGAATCCAACCCAATCCAGAAAACAGGCTTCGCTTTGTGTATTCTTTTACCTCTGGAAATATGAGATCCATCTTAAGATTTATCAAATGGAAGAAAAATTTCTTATCGGAGCACTTGGACTTACAAGGATGGAAGAAATCAACAAAGATGGATGTGGAAGGAAAGGAAATGAAACACACTGGACTATATAAATTTCCAGGGAATCAAAACATCAGATTAGAACTCAGATTGGTTACCTGGCAATGTCATCAATCCTGAAGAGTTTTTGTATGATGCCTTTACAACGAACAATTTACTTCATGGGAGTCCAAGACTAGGGGATTGTGATTTAAGGCCAGCCCAAGGAAAAACAAGTGCATGATTTCATTTCAAGCCTTTACTGGGCATGGCATCATGTTCCTGATCCAGCAAAATGGCTGAATCCAATGTCCTAACCCTGTCATCCCAATGGACTCTGAGAAGCATAAGAAGAAGGATAACCATCCAGGCCCACCCATACATAAGACTGCAAAAACAATCAATAGAAAAAGCAATTGGGGGCTGGGAAGGTGGCTCAGTGGTAGAGTGCTTGCCTTGCATGCATGAGGCCCAGGGTTCAATTCCTCAGCACCACAGAAAAAGCTGGATGTGGCACTGTGGCTCAAGTGGTAGAGCACTAGCCTTGAGCTAACGAGCTGAGGGACAGCACCGAGGCCCAGAGTTCAGGCCCCACAACCGACCAAAAAGAAAAAAAGCAGTTGGAAGGGTGGTTCAAGTGGTAAAGCACCTGTCTAGCAATCACACGGCCCAAATTCAATCCCCAATCTCCTCAGAAAGGGGGAAGGGAGATACGAATAGCTATGTACAAGAAGTATGCCACAGGCCCCGTAAGGCTTAGATTATACTCTGAACTTAACTAAAATCACTCTGAGCTATAAATCTCTCTAATTCTGTGATTTCTATTATGTAGGAAGAGAAATTTGCATGCTTCAAGATTCCAGCTCAATACTGTAGACTAGCACTTTCAAACAGATGAGTCTTACTTCCAACAATGATGATAGAGAGAGAAGAAATCATTTGCAATGTTTAAAACCATATGTTCCAACAAGTATGAAATTAATAAACAAAATAATAACATGCAGATGGGATCTGCTTTCAGCTCATCTAATCCACATATTTTTATAGATAAGCTCTGTTGTGCACAAACTGATACTAAATTTTAAAAAGCCTCCACACTTAGCTGATTAACATGGTAATCTCTGTAATTGTCCCCTTGATACAGTTTCCTCAAACAAATAGCAAGTACTTGGGAGCTACCCAAAATATCAGTGGATCCCCATGACAACAAAGTTGTGTTGTTCAACTTCTATTGTGCAATTTCTTGTATGTTAAAAAGGAAAGTCACTAAAAGATATTATTACTAACCATATTGGTCTATCTAAAGTTTATGTTTGCAGGGATAATAGTTTATATCCTTTCATCCATCAAAAGACTGCAAAGCCAGGAGCTGGTGACTCACACCTGTAAGCCTAGCTATTCAAAAGGCTGAGAGCTGAGGATTGCTTCATAGCCAGCCTGAGCAGAAAGAAAAGTCCTTGCGTCTCTTACTAACTACCAAAAAAGCCAAAAGTAGAGCTGTGGCTCAAGTGGTAGAGTGTTGGCCTTTGAGAAAAATCAAGTGTGAAGCCCTAAGTTCAAGTACTCTAAGGGCATGTGTATGCACACACACACACACACACACACACACACACACACAACAGGACAGGTAAACACACTGTAATTATACTGAGTGTTCTTATTCTCATTATGTCATATAAAAAACTTTATTCTTTTCTGATTTTCAAGGGCAATAAAAGCATCTCTGTTTATGCACACAAAAAACGGCATCAATACCAAGAAATGAATTCATTACATTGTCTGGCTCTCACAGGAAAATACATCCTATCTTGTGAAGGATTCAATATTCATTAATAAAAAAATCAACCATGAAAGACAGATGCTGATGGCTAATGCCTGTAATCCTCACTACTAAGGAGGCTAAGATGTGAGGATGGAGATTTGAAGCCAGCCCACTCAGGAAAGTCCAGGAGATTGTTATTTTTAATAAACCACACCAAAAATCTGGAAGTGGAAGTATGGTTCATGTGACTGAGCACCAGTCTTTTTGTTTGCTTGTTTGTGAAGCACAAATAAAGGCTGGGTTTCTCCACAGACAAAGTAGCTCACATTGTCCATAA